CAGAAGTGCCTTCATGGGAAGCAGTTCTAGGAGACTGAAAATTGGACAGCATAAGACTGTGGAATCTACATGGTTTGAGGGGAGAAGGGAATCACAGTGGGCTTTATCTAGTCCAATCATGACTGTAACAGAGCTACATGGGGTCTTATCATGAGGATCTGTCATAACAAGAAGGTACTACTGATGAGGTCACAGTAACTTAGTTTGGGAAAATAAAGGCTAAGAGGAATGATCATGAATCTATGATTATGAATGGCACATATACATTGAACCGAGATATTTTTCTAATCTAAATTTGAAACACGTGACCAAAGATGCCTTTACAAACTTCAAAACTTATGAAGGGACACATTACACAGTAGAGGGGGTATAGTAACATGACTGACAGCATGAACTGTGAAAGTCGTACTGCCTGCGTTTGTCACCTAGCCCTGGCAAATTTAACACCTCAGGTTCCTCAGATGAAACATGGAAGTAATATCAGGACCTACTTCACAAAATTGTGGTGAGGGTTATAACACACACAAAGTACTCAGAAAAAAAACAGTCTGGCACATGGTAAGTTCTCAATAAATGCTAGCTATTAATATGCTTCTAGAAGTCATAGCAAAAATCAGGAAACAAATTGACTTTTTAAAGGTTCAAATATATTTGGGAATGGGAAATCAATATATGGCTACTCACAAAACTGGGACATACCCAACTTTAAGGCTAGTGATGTCTGGATAGGATGAAGCAGTAAAGCAATGCCCATTTTCCAGAAGTTTTTAACTCTAGAAAGTAATGACTATTAGCTTTGATAATGCTTTCATTACTTTTGCAAAAGGCATAAGAGCAATATGGGAAAAAGGGGATAGAGAAGAGAGAGTTAGATATTCAGGTAAGATGATGTTCTCAGAAATACCATTCTGGTCAGATGTACAAAATTGGTGAAGTTCCCGTTTCTGGCTAGGATTTCAAATCTATTTAAAATTTTTTAAAACATTTATTTATTATTAAGAGACAGAGCACGAACGGGATAGGGGCAGAGAGAGAAAGAGACACAGAATCTGAAGCAGGCTCCAGGCTCTGAGCAAGCTGTCAGCACAGAGCCTGACACGGAGCCCGAACCCACGAACCTCAAGATCACGACCTAGGCCAAAGTCAGTCGCTCAACTGACTGAGCCACCCAGGTGCCCCTCAAATCTATTAAAAAAAAAGGTGGAGGGGATAGGTCTAGCATTCCACCTTCAGTTATAGCAATTTTCCCTGCACCCATGATACTCCACAAAGGCATTCTTTCAGTTCCAGGATGAGGCCAAGCTCTTTGCTGCCTCAGGGTCTTGGCAGATTGATCTCCCTTAATCCTAGGACACTGTAACTCCCTCACCACTTTCCTCATGGCTACTTCTTAATCCTTAAGTTCTCAACTTAAAAGTCACTACTCTTGACACCCTTATTTTTTTTTTTTTTTAAATGTTTTATTTATTTCTAGGAGAGAGAGAGAGACAGCGTGAGCAGGGGAGGGTCAGAGAGAGAGGGAGTCACAGACTGAAACAGGCTCCAGGCTCTGAGCTGGCAGTCAGCACAGAGCCCGACGCGGGGCTCGAACCCACGAACCGCGAGATCATGACCCAAGCGAAAGTCGGACGCTCAACCGACTAAGCCACCCAGGCGCCCCTTGACACCCTTATTTAGAGTCAGTTTCTCTTGGGGCACCTGGGTGGCTCAGTTGGTTAAGTGTCTGACTTAGGCTCAGGTCATGATCTCACAGTTCATGAGTCCAAGCCCTGCACTGGGCACTCTACAGGGAGCCCACTTCAGATCTGTTTCCCACTATCTCTATTCCTCCACCACCTGTACTCTCTCTTTCAAAAATAAATATTTTTTTAAAAAATTAAAAAGTAAGGGACATCTGGGTGGCTCAGCCAGTTGAGCGTCTGACTTCAGTTCAGGTCATGATCCCATGGCTTAGGAGTTCGAGCTCCATGTCAGGCTCTGTCCTGACAGCTTGGAGCCTGGAGCCTGCTTTGGATTCTGTGTCTTCCTCTTGCTCTGTCCCTCCCCGGCTCATGCTCTGTCTCTCTCTCCTTCAAAAATAAACAAACACTAAACAAATTTTTAAAAAATTTCTGTTACTTTCTATCTCAGCCTTCTGTTTGCTTCTTGTGCTTCCCAGCACTTACCACAATTATAATTTAAAAATAATTTTTTAAATGTTTTATTTTTGAGAGTGAGAGAGAGAGAGACAGCATGAGCAGGGGAGGGTCAGAGAGAATATAGAATCCGAAGCAGGCTCCAGGCTCTGAACTGGCAGTCAGCACAGAGCCTGACGTGGGGCTCGAACTCATGAACCGTGAGATCACTACCTGAGTCAAAGTCAGACGCTTAACCGACTGAGCCACCTAGGCGCCCCACAATTATAATTTTAAATAATTTAATTATTTTATTTGCTTATTTTTAATGTTTTCCCCACTAAATAGCTCCAGGATGGCAGTGAACATCTTTGCTCAATATTTTATCCTCAGTGAAGCTTACCACTCAGAGTGGCACATAGTAGACGCTCAAAAGACAACAATCTGTTGAATGAATCATGAAGCAGTGATTCCTAAGAGCACTTACAGCTATGATTACACCAACCAAATGGCTCTGTTCCAAGAAGTTTAGTTGGAACTTGACTGATGTAATCTGTTAGTGATTTAGCACCTTCCTCAATGACTTTGTAAGTTTTACTTTCAGCTTTGCCTTACTCATTTTAACAAATGGTGATCTATGGGGAGCCTGGGTGGCTTAGTCGGTTAAGCGTCCGACTTTCGCTTAGGTCATGATCTCGCGGTTCGTGGGTTCGAGCCCCGCGTCGGGCTCTGTGCTGACTGCCAGCTCAGAGCCTGGAGCCTGTTTCAGTCTGTGACTCCCTCTCTCTCTGACCCTCCCCTGCTCACACTGTCTCTCTCTCTCTCTCCTAGAAATAAATAAAAAAACCTTAAAAAAAAAAAAAAAACAAAAAAAACAAATGGTGATCTAGGCCCAAACTTCTATCCAACAATGGACTGGCTACATAATAATGATCTGAGGAGCTTATTACAAATACAGATTTTTGGATCAAAACTCCAGAAGATTCCTACTTAGTGCTTGTGTTGTAATGAGGCTCTAGAATCCATATATTTAAAACTTTGCTTATTTTGAATATATTATGTATGTGCACGGTACACAATTCAAAAGGTACAAAAAAGTTTACAGCAAAATCTCCCTTCTATTCCTGTCCTGTGGCATCAAGTTCCCCTTGCTATAAATTACCACTGTTTCAATTTCTTATGTGTTCTTCCAGATAATTATTTGCCTACACGAACATGTATAAATCCTTTGCTTTCAAGACACCTGAATATTTAAAGAACTGTTCCAGCTTTGTTTTTTCTATTCCCACTTAACAAACGTTGAAAGTGACGGCACCTGTATTTTTAACAAGCATCCTAGGTGATTCTGATGTGAAGCCAAATATGAGTAACCAATCACTGGCCTAGTGTTAAGAGATTAGGTTCGACTAAGATACATTAGAAACTCAAGGACATCGAAAAGATGCCCTCAAAAGCAGCCTTGCTTGCTTGATCTCTACCCTCTTGCCTTAACCCAGATGAACTAACACATTTTCTAACGCGTCCGTAAGAGCCAGGATGTTGCCAAAGTTGTTCAATTTTTCAATCTTAGAATCCCTTCCTGCCCCAAATCACCTGAAATCACAAACTGGACCATTTCTATGTTAGAAGAGACATTTTTGGTATTTGGGTTGTAAAGAGGTTTGATGTGCAGTGAACTAGGGCTGATCTTCGCTCCCGGCAGTTAAGTAGTTTAATGGAGCACAACCGAAATACTTCCTTTACTAACCCTTACTGACACAACAGTATCCAATCCTCCCCCAGAACTGCTTTCTAACCACCTGGGCAAAGGCAATTCATTTAGAAACTATAGAGAAGATCGCATCGTCGGGGCAGAGCTGGGATTCTCGAGTCCGGACTCCAGGAGACCTGACTTCACCGCTACCTGGGGACGATGGCTGGGCCCCTGAGCAGCTCTAGCTTCCTATTTTCATCTACCCCGGAGACTGCAGAGAGTTTCCTCTCGGCACGGAGGCAAGGCTCTCTAAGGGCCACCCCGGAATCTCCTCCGCAGTGTCCCTTTCACCACGAGGGGCACCGCGCGGCAGGCATCCTCACCTCCCTTACACGGCGCCGAGGAAGGGGTGTAAAGGGCTCCCCAGGTGAGGCAGGGAAGCCGCCGGGATGCGGCGCAGGCTTAGCCTCCGGCTCTTAGGGACAGCGGAGGGCGTGACGCCTCCATCCCTTCCTTCTGGACTCAAAAGTGAAGACAGGAAAAGTGGGGCTCAAGGCGCCCAAACCTCAGACCTCTCCCTCCTCCGCTCGGGCTTTTCTCCATCCTCTGGGCCCCGCGTCTCCCCCGAGCCGTGGTCCAGGCCTCCCTGCCTCTGCCGGCCGTCCCGGCACCCTCTCGCCCGCCCCCAGCCCCCTCACCCAGCATGATGGGGCTGAGCCGCCGGGCCAGGCCCTTGGACAGGTCGTACACGTAGAGCTTCACCGGATAGAGATTCGGCGGCTCCATCGGGACCCGTGGCGGCGGCGGCCACGAAGTCCCTCAGGCACCCGGTAGCGGCTTGGACCTTCCCGTACCCGACCGGGGTGGGGAGCGGAGGGAGCGGGGGACCGAGCCCAGGCCCGGCCTGAGGGGCGGGGGGAAAGGCGGCCCTGCGCTGCACGCGCCCCGACACCCGCCACGGGCAACGACTACTGTGAGGTGACAGAGCGGGGACAGGCAGGGTCCGCGCTGAAGAAGGGGCGGGGGCGAGGACGCACTCTTGCGCATGTGCCTACTGTCCCGACGGGCGGCGAGGGGCGGGGTTTCGCGGGAGGGGGCGGGGCCTTCGCTGACTGGCTCGGTTAGTTAGGGACGATGGTGGAAAGCGGGAGGCGGAGGTGGGCGTGTCAACTCGACGAGAAATGTGCGCTCTGTGCGTGATGACGTAGAGGGCGTTGATTGGGAGCGAAAACTAGTGCCCGTGCGTGCGCGGTACCTCTCCTGCCCAAACTGAACTGTTCCTTGCACCTAAGGTGGGTGGTTTGAGAATGTTGTGTGCGTGCGTTGCTTTCCGGCCAGGGCTTACCTCGGCCTGCTTCGCTCACTCAGTCTTGCACGTCCTTCTAGCCTCACCGCGGAGCATGACGTGTGCGGACCTGGGGGTAGAAACAGTTTTTGATACCATTTCCCTCCTCCGTAGGGGGCGGCACCTGGCCTTTGAAGCCCTCCTACGTTTGAGACTCCGCTGGGCGTGGCTGGAGGAGGATTTGGGGGAGATTTTTGGGCGGGATGTGGACTAATGGGTCGCTTGAGAACGGAGTACCCTGGAGCAGGAATACCGTAGGTCCAGCTGGTGCCGGAGGCCAGGCGGGACCTCCGGGTTGGGCTGCCCCAGCACACCAATCGGAGGGCCACCCGGGGCCATCGCCAGCCCCGAAGAGGCCCTAAGGGATAGCTGAAGTGAAACTCCTGCTGGAATGATACCTATGACGATATACTAATGGATCTCCATCACTGAGAGATCCGGAGGCAGCAGGATCCGCATCCACATTCCTCAAGAATAATCTCTTTTTTTAAAAAAATATTTTTTATTTATTTTTAGGAGAGAGAGAGAGACAGCGTGAGCAGGGGAAGGTCAGAGAGAGAGGGAGACACAGACTCTGAAATAGGCTCTAGGTTCTGAGCTGGCTGTCAGCACAGAGCCCGACGCGAGGCTCGAACCCACAAACCGCGAGATCATGACCTAAGCGAAAGTCGGACGCTTAACCAAGCCACCCAGGCACCCCTCCTCAAGAATAATCTCAAGAATACTGAGAAACAAACAGAGGACTGATGGATGTGGGCGGGGAGGGGGGGGGGAGATGGGCATGGAGGAAGGCACTTCTGGGGATGAGCACTGGGTGTTATATGGAAACCAGCTTGACAATAAACTATTTGTAAAAAAAATAATAAAATAAAAAAATAAAAAGAATAATCTCAAGACTTTAGGACAGATCTCAAGCCTAGGACTCGATATTTTTTAGGTTTAAATTTGCATGTAACTGATCATAACTTTCTTTCACCTGGTGACCAGTAAACACTATGTCAGGTTGGGAGTCTTATTACAAAAACGAGGGCGATGAAGAAGAAGAACAAGAAGAAGGCCTTGAAGCAGGTGGTAAGTGATTTTAACCTGTGCTGTTCTGTGTGTAAGAAAGACTTTCCCCATTTCTCCTGTTTCATGGCTTACCCTTCTCTCCCTGGATAATCTCCAATGCTTTTCTCCCATTGAACTTTGCAGAGCTACCCTAGACTCTTATTCAGATCCTACTCTAGTCTATGGGACATTCCTAGCCTTGAACTTTTACTAGGTACTGGTAGATTGACATCTATTAGTTCCAGTAACTGACGCTGAACATTGGTATCCTTTGTCAACTTAGGTGACCCAGATAAGACCTTTCTTCACCCAGGAAAGTTGTTTTACTCATCGTAGGACCTCAGTATAAGAATGCCTTCACCCCATAGTAACTGCAGCAGCCAAAGAGAAGACATTAGCAACACAGTTTACAAGAGTCATTCTCTCGCCATAGCCTCCAGGTTTGGGAGTATATATTCAGACAAGACAGTAAGACAAAGGATAAAGGAAGAGAAATAAGGGGTACATGTAATCTACATACTGGTTAATTTAAGTCCCGGATAAGAAAATTTTATTTGTTTATTTTATTTTTAATTTTTAAAAAATTTTTTTAATGTTTATTTTTGAGAGAGAGACAGAGCATGAGTGGTGGAGGGACAGAGAGAGAGGGAGACACAGAATCTGAAGCAGGCTCCAGGCTCTGAGCTGTCAGCACAGAGCCTGAAGCAGGGCTCGAACTTACGAACTGTGAGATCATGACCTGAGCTGAAGTCAGATGCTTTACTGACTGAGCCATCCAGACGCCCCCCTGGATAAGAAAATTTTAAAGTGTTTTTACTAAAAGTGAGAAACAGGAGCACCTGGGTGACTCAGTTGGTTGAGCGTCTGACTTTGGATCAGGTCATGATCTCACCGTTGGTGAGTTTGAGCCCCATATCTGGCTTGCTGTTGTCAGTCCAGAGCCTGGAGTCTGCTTTGGATCCCCTGTTCCCCTCTGTCTCTCTGCCCCTCCCCCTGCTCACAGTCTCTCTCTCTCTCTCTCTCTCTCAAAAACAAACATTGGGGCACCTGGGTGGCTCAGTTGGTTAAGAGACTGGACTTCGGCTCAGGTCATGATCTCCCGGTTCATGGGTTCGGGCCCTGCGTCAGGCTCCTTGCTGACAGCTCAGAGCCTAGAGCCTGCTTTGGATTCTGTGTCTCCCTCTCTCTCTGTCCCTCCTCTGCTTGTGCTCTGTCTCTCAAAAATAAATGTTAAAAATAAAATTAAAAACAAAAGAAACAAACATTTAAAAAGTAAATAAAAGAGACAAACATAGGAAATATAGGACATAAGAGAGAAAATTTACCGTAATCTATATAATCTACTGCCCTAACACAGCCACTACCAGCATTTTGGCATTTTGCATTTTTCCTTCATAGATCTTTCATTCTTATATTTCCTAACTGTGTATGTCTTTTTTTTTTTTTTGTTTTATTTTGTTTTTTGGTATCTGATTTTTTTATAGTTAATCATAGTGAATATATTTTTCATTTTATTTTTTATTTTTAAATTTTAATTTTTTTTATTTTAAATTTTTTATTTTTGAAAGTTTTTTTTTTTTAAGTAATCTCTGCACTCTACTTGGGGCTCAAACTTACAACCTGGAGATCAAGAGTTGCATGCTCTACTGACTGAGCCAGCCAGGCACCTTATTTTTTTTAAACATATATACACAGAATCTTAAGCATATGTACACAATTTTGAGTTCTGTCTTTTCCATGTAACTGCATATGTGTTGTCTTTTTTTTTTTTTTTTAATAATTTTATTTATTTCTAGGAGAGAGAGACAGCATGAGCAGGGGAGAGTCAGAGAGAGAGGGAGATACAGACTCCGAAACAGGCTCCAGGCTTGAGCTGGCAGTCAGCACAGAGCCCGACGCGGGGCTCGAACCCACAAACCGCGAGATCATGACCTAAGCGAAAGTCGGACGCTTAACCGACTAAGCCACCCAGGCGCCCCAACATATGTGTTGTCTTTATAAGTCATTTTAAATGTACTATAATTCAGTCTGCCTCCTGTTGAACATTTTAGTTATTTATTTTTTTTTTTACAATTTTTTTAGTTTAGTTTGAGAGAGAGAGAGGGTGAGAGAGAGAGCAGGGGAGGTTCAAAGAGAGGGAGAAAGAGAAAACTCTAGGCAGGCTCTGCTTTGTCAGTGTGGAGCCTCATTCTGGGGCTTGAACCCACAAACTGTGAGATCATGACCTGAACTTGAACTTAAACCAAGAGCTGGATGCTCAACCAACTCAGCCACCCAGGTGCCCCCATTTCAGTTATTTTCAAGTAAAAAAAAAATTTTTTTAAGTTTATTTTTGTGAAAGAGAGAGACAGAGTATAAGTGGAGAGAGGGAGACAAAGAATCTGAAGTAGGCTCCAGGCTCTGAGCTGTCAGCTCAGAGCTAGACACAGGGCTTGAACCCACAAACTGTGAGATCGTAATTTGAGCCAAAGTCAGATATTCAACTGACTGAGCCACCCAGGCACCCCAACTTCTTTTTTCACCCAGTACTTTTATTTTAAAGATTCTCTTTTTTTCTTCTTTTTAATGTTTATTTTTGAGAGAAAGAGAGCACAAGCGGGGGAGTGGCAGAGAGGGAGACACAGAATCTGAAGCAGTTTCCAGGCTTGTAACTGTCAGTGAGAGCCCAACGCGGGCCTCAAACCCATGAACAGGGAGATCATGATCTGAGCCGAAGTCAAACACTTAACTGACTGAGCCACCCAGGCGCGCCAGTTATTTTTAATTTCTTACTTTAATAAACAACACTATGGAAAATTCTGCATATCTTTCATATCTTATGATTTAGGATTATTCATATCTTATGTTCTTTAGATTGCTAAGAAGTAGAATTCACTGGGTCAAGGTAGAATTTATGTTTAGGGGTCTCGACTCATAATTATGTTGTTTTACAAATAAGCAATTACATTTATTAGAAAGCAGCAGTGTCGGGGCGCCTGGGTGGCTTAGTCGGTTAAGCGTCCGACTTTCGCTTAGGTCATGATCTCGCAGTTCGTGGGTTCGAGCCCCGCGTCGGGCTCTGTGCTGACTGCCAGCTCAGAGCCTGGAGCCTGTTTCAGTCTGTGACTCCCTCTCTCTCTGACCCTCCCCTGCTCATGTTGTCTCTCTCTCTCTCTCCTAGAAATAAATAAAACATTAAAAAAAAAAATTAAAAAAAAAAAAGAAAGCAGTGTCAAAAAGGGAGACAATCAGATATTTATGTGTTTTTATTTAAAAAAAAAAAACCCTTAACATGCCAGAAAAGGGACAAAGAAAACTTGAATCTGATGAAGCCTCTAGGTCCTCAGTAGAAAAGACAGAGGACTGTGTCAGTCTACACCGAAAGAATCCAGTCAGCAAAATCCAGAAGGTGGAAAACTGTACATAACACAACATTCTGGTTCTTCAGCAATTAAGTTATAAGACACAAAAGACGGAAAGGGTATCTATAGATTAGGAGTCTTAAAAAACATTTTTTCCCCCAAGTCAAAACTAGCGTTTAGGAATGTTCATTTGAGGGCGCCTGGGTGGCTCAGTCAGTTAAGTATGACTTTGGCTCAGGTCATGATCTCATGGTTCATGGGTTTGAGCCCCTCATTGGGCCCTGTGCTCACAATTGGGCTCTGTGCTCACAGCTCTGAGCCTGGAACCTGTTGTAGACTGTATTTCCCTCTCTCTCCCTGTCCTTCCTCCCTCCCTGCCTCAAAAATAAACAAACACTAACAACAACAAAAAAATTTAGAAAGGAATGTTCACTTGGATGATAAAACTCTAAAGAAAATAAGGAAATGATTATTAAAAGTCAGGATAGTGGCTACTCTTGGGAAGAGAGTGGGCATTATAATGGGCTTTTTTCTATTTTATATGAATAATAAACATCATAATTATGAACACAAGGGCGAACATTTTCTCCTCTGTTTTTTCCCACATAGGAGAATATACATACTCAGGAAGAGATAGTTTGATTTTTTTGGTTGATGGTTCTAAGGCCATGTTTGAATCTCAGGATGAAGTTGAACTGACTCCTTTTGACATGAGCATCCAGGTAAGACTACCTTTTATTTAATTTAAAAAAAGAAAAAGTATTAACACCACTTAAAAAATTGTGGACTCTGAAAAATTTGTTGATGAATGCTCTGTGTCTCCCTCTGTCTCTGCTCTTCCCCGGCTCATGCTCTGTCTCTCTCCTTCAAAAATAAACAAACACTATAATGGAGAGAATAATAGTACCTACCACATCAAGTGGTTGTGAGGGTTAAATATTTTTGGTTTTTAAATTGATTTGATTTTTAAATTACATAACATAAAACTAAACAGTTTATTTTTATTATTTTTTAATGTTTATTTTGAGAGAGAGTGAGCACACACACAAGTGAAGGTAGGAACAGAGAGAGACAGAGAGAGAGAGAGAGAGAGAGAATCCTAAGAGAGAGAGAGAGAGAGAGAGAGAGAGAGAATCCTAAGCAGGCTCTGCACTGTCTGCATGGAGCCTGACACTGGGCTCGAACCCACAAATGCGAGATTATGACCCGAGCTGAAACCAAGAGTCGGATGCTTACCCGACTGAGCCACCCAGGCGCCCCTAAAATTAACCTTTTTAAAGTATACAATTGAGAAGTATTTAGTCATTCATAGTGCTGTGTATCCACCACCTCTGTCTCATTTCTGAACATTTTGAACAGATAAACAAAATGTTTGTACATACAGTGGAATATTACTCAGGCATAAGGAAGGAACTATTAAAAAAATTTTTTTTAATGTTTTATTTATTTCTGAGAGAGAGAGAGACAGTGTGAGCAGGGGAGGGTCAGAAAGAGAGGGAGATACAGAATCTTAAACAGGCTCCAGGCTCTGAGCTAACTGTCAGCACAGAGCCCGACACGGGGCTCGAACCCACAAACCTGAGATCATGACCTGAGCCAAAGTCAAATGCTTAACCAACTGAGCCACCCAGACACCCCAGGAAGGAACTATTGATACCACAAGGTGATTGAACCTAGATGACATTATATTAAGTGAAAGAAGCCAGATAAAAAGTGACATGTTGTATGATTACATTTATATGAAATAAAGAATCCATATTCCATGAAGAATGTAGGTTGGCAGTTACCAGGGATGGTGGTGGGGACAGAGGAATGGGGAGCAACTGCTTAATGGTAAGAATGGGGTTTTGCATTGTGATGAAAATGTTTTGGAACTAGATAGCAATGATAGATGTACATCGTTGTGAATACTAAATACCACTGAATTGTTCACTTTAAAGTAGTTAATTTGGAGGGCCGTCTGGGTGGCTCAGTCGGTTAAGTGTCCCGACTTTGGCTCAGGTCATAACCTTGTGGTCTGCAAGTTTGAGCTCTGCATCGGGCTCTGTGCTGACAGCTCAGAGCCTGGAATCTGCTTCAGATTCTGTCTCCCCCTCTCTCTCTCTGCCCCTCCCCTGCTCCCGCGCCTGCTCTCTCTCTCTCTCTCTCTCAAAATAAGTAAAGAAACTTAAAAAAAAAAAAAGAATTAAACAAAGATTACCATTTCTTTATACAGAAGAATTATGAAGACTGATCGTATATCTTATGTTTTTAGAGTTTGAAACCAAACAGAAGCTTCTCATGTTCTAATTTGTATACAGGCAGTTCTTGTTGGCAAATCAGAATATCTTGTATCTAGAAAAAAAATAAGAACAGTCTTTAACTTTAAAGCAGTGTTTTTCAGAATCTCACACAAGGCTTGTGAGCACAGATCGCAGAGCCTTACCCCAGAATCAGAATTTCTGAATCAGAATTTCTAATTCTGTAAGAGTCTAGTGCTGGGACCAAGAATTTGCATTTCCAGCTGTTCTCAGGTGGTACTGCTGTTACTCGCTTGGAGATGACTCTTCGAGGAGCACTGCTTTAACAACGCTGTTGGACTCAGGGACCTCTCTGAGGATGTGATGACAGCTGTGTACCCTCTCTCCAGGAAGATACAGTCACAGTTCTGCATGTAATTCCAAAGGGTTTTTAGAAACCTTGATGCCTAGGTGACGTGCTGCTGACAGTGCAGAGCCTGCTTGGGATTCTCTCTCTGCCCCTCTGCTGCTCTCTCTCTGTCTCTCTGTCTCTCTCTTAAAAATAAATAAATAAAAACTTAAAAAAAAATTGGAAACCTTAATGCCTAAAGATCCCTTTCTTTCTGTGTCCCCCTCAAAAATAAACATTAAGGGCCGCCTGGGTGGCTTAGTCGGTTAAGCGTCCAACTTCAGCTCAGGTCATGATCTCGCGGTTCGTGGGTTCAAGCCCCGCATCGGACTCTTGACGGCTAGCTCAGAGCCTGGAGCCTGCTTCTGATTCTGTATCTCCCTCTCTCTCTCTCTCTCTCTCTCTCTTACCCTCCCCTGCTCATGCTGTCTCTCTCTCTCTCTCAGAAATAAATAAAAACATTTAAAAAAAATTTTTTTAATAAATAAATAAACATTAAAAAAAGAACCCAGAAGGAAATGTAGTATTATATAGCAAAAAAGTGAGACATTCACAGATGAGTATAATGCATGTAACAAGCAATGAAAAAACATTTTCTCAATTTTTTTTTTTAATTCTTAGAACCTAAAAGAAGCCCTCACCAAATTTTTGTAAATGTTTATAGGGTACTCAATGTAGATTAAAAGTTGTGGGGATGAGGGGCACTTGGGTGGCTCAGTTGCTTAAGCATCTGACTCTTGATCTCAGCACAGGTCTTGATCTCAGGGTCATGAGTTCAAGCCCTGTGTTGGGCTCCATACCGGGCGTGAAGCCTCCTTAAAAAAAAAAAAAAGAAGAAAGAAAAACAAAAACACAACAGTTACGGGGATGAGAAGTACAACATAGGCAATACAGTTACTGGTATGGTAATAGCATTATATGGTAACAGGTGGTAGCTCCACTTGTGGTGAGCAAAACGTAATGTATAGACGCCATGTGACTATGTTGTACACCTGAACTACTGTAATGTGTGTCAACATACTTCACTAATGAAAAAAAAAAGAATACATTAAAATATTTATAGAAATACCGACTTGCTATGCGGATGATTGTCAGTGAATAGACATAGTTTAAGTTCTGCATTTAGGGAGAGAATTACTGGTGAGGAAGTCTGGGTAGAGTCTCCAGCCAGTCGTGGGGGCAGGTTGGGGGGTGCTGCTCTTGGTTGCTTTAGTTCTCAGACTTAATGTCGGTACCTCCCAGAACTAATTAGGTCACAGGACTGACCAGCTGTTAACGAGACACTGATTTACTCCATGCTGACCTTAGTTTTTTTTTTAATTTTTTTTATTTTTAAGATTTTAGTTTTAAGTAATCTCTACACCCAACGTGGGGCCCAAACCTACAGCCCTGAGATCAAGGGTTGTATGCTCTACCGATTGAGCCAGCCCGGTGCCCTGCTGTTGACCTTAGTTTCAATGGGTAGATAGAACTTTCCTGGAATACTGATGTCTTTAACTGTGTAATGAAGCAAATTTGATTCTAAAAGATGCTGTTAGGAAAAAAAAATGCTGTTAGTAGTTATGGACTTATTGTTGGGTCACGTCTACTTATTGTTAGTTTAAACCTTTTATATATGTAAATTCTGTTTCTTGGTATCAGGCTACTTGAGGGAGGTCAAGTGGCCTGTTCAGACTCAGTCAATTAAGTAAATAACAGCAGTGGGACTCTAATCCAGATTTTCTGATTCCAGTACTAGGCTGTTTTTCTCCCTTATAACATAATTTTCTCCCTGAGTATATATGTGTTTTTAATCCTCTGATTTCTTATGGCAAGAACCGCTTATATTTCTGTTATATACTTAACATCCTCTGCCTTCTGTTATAGTGTAACATGTATGCCTCTCCCTCTCACTGATTCATGAGAGAGAGAGACAGCGTGAGCAGAGGAGGGTCAGAGAGAGAGGGAGGTACAGAATCTGAAATAGGCTCCAGGATCTGAGCTAGCTGTCAGCACAGAGCCCGACGCGGGGCTCGAACCCACAAACCGTGAGATTATGACCTGAGCTGAAGTTGGACGCTTAACCGACTGAGCCACCCAGGTGCCCCAGGTATGGGTCATTCCTTAATCTAAAGCCATGTAAAATTCAGCAAATATATCGATCACTTACTGTGTGCCAGGCACTTATGGAGCTTAATTTTAGTGGTAAGTAGTTAACTATTAATCGGATTTTATTTTGATTTTTGTCAGTGTATCCAGAATGTATATACCAATAAGATCATAAGCAGTAATCAAGATCTCTTGGCGGTGGTGTTCTATGGTACTGAGAAGGATAAAAATTCAGTGAATTTCAAAAATATTTACGTCTTACAGGAGTTGGATAATCCAGGTCAGTAGTAGTCTAAGATCAGCTTTTCTTTTATACTGGAAGGTCACTACCCTGAACAAAGAGGGGTGTGGAGAAGGAGGTAGATGACATCTTGAATACAAGTGTGCTTTCCTGCACAAGGAATTCTTCCTGGGTTGAGGACTTTATGGGTTACACACCTCTGGGGTGAGCACGGGACCCTAGGCTCTTCTTTTAGCCTTATAAATGCGGCACTGACACTATCCTGATTTTTCTGCCCATTTGACTTCTTGTCTCTGATCAGGTGCTAAGCGAGTGCTTGAGCTTGACCAGTTTAAGGGGGAGCAGGGGAAAAAACGTTTCCAAGATCTAATTGGCCATGGATCTGACTACTCGCTAAGTGAAGTGCTGTGGGTCTGTGCCAACCTCTTTAGCGATGTCCAGGTCAAGATGAGCCATAAGAGGGTCATGCTGTTCACCAATGAAGACGACCCCCACCGCAATGACAGTGCCAAAGCCAGCCGCGCCAGGACCAAAGCCGCAGATCTCCGTGACACAGGTTGGCATTTCCCCTTGTTATTTCTTTATAGCTGATGTCAAACATTGGCTTTTCACCATCCAGAGTGAAATAAAAGAATAAGAATGATGTTATACAGGTGTAACATTCCTACTGAAAATAACCAGGCCATTAGCTTTCTTTCTTTTTTTTTTTTTTTTAAGTTTATTTATTTATTTTGAGAGAAACAGAAAAAGCTCAAGTGGGAGAGGGGCGGAGAGAGAGAGAATCCCAAGTAGGCTCTGCAGTGCGGTGTTCGAACTCAGGAAACCATGAGATCATGACCTGAGCCGAAACCAAGAGTCTGATGCCTAACTGACTGAGCCACCCAGGCTCCCCGAGGCCTTTGGCTTTCTGAGGGGCTCCACTAGAGCAAGCTTTTCTTAACTTTTCATGCTACCGCATGTGGCAGTGGTTTGAATCAGTCGTCATTATAGTAGCTGATTCCCTTGGTGATTCTGTAAGTCCTGAAAATGCTAATAATCCCACTAGTTCTTTGCATATTTGAGCTCAACTGAAAAAAACTCTCACTTGCTGAAAACTGTCTGCTTCCCCCTCACTTTTGGCCGTCCTTGCCCCAGGTATCTTCCTGGACTTGATGCACCTGAAGAAACATGGGGGCTTTGACATATCATTGTTCTACCGAGATATCATCAGCATCGCGGATGATGAGGACCTAGGGGTTCACTTTGAGGAGTCGAGCAAGCTGGAAGACCTATTGAGGAAGGTTCGAGCCAAGGAGACCAAGAAGCGCGTGCTCTGCAGGTATGCTCTGAACCTGGGCCAGCTGCCCACACATACCCTACTTAGTCTTAAACACTGCATTGCCTTGACCTCCCTGGATACTTACCTCCGGGCTGTGCCTCCCTGTCTTCCTCTAAAACACTCACTTTATTTCAGGATAGCACAAACTGTTTGCTTCTCTTTCTTTGGGAAGAGCTGGTATGCTAATTTTCCAGAATAACACAGCTCTCTGCTTCCTTGGGGTAAACAGTTGTGGCCTAACTCTCTCCTCAGTTGCACATACTAGTATATCATCTGCTTTCTTCTCTGTAAATTGTGGATAACAGCAATACCTGATACAGAGCAAAAACTTAGTGCTAGTTATTTTCTCTGTTGTTGAGTTATTCTGATTTTTTTTTTTTAAGTCTTTTAATGTTTATTTTTGAGAGAGAGAGAGAGAGACAGAGATGGAGTGTTAGCAGGGGAGGGGAAGACAGAGAGAGACAGAATTGGAAGCAGGATCTAAGCTCTGAGCTGTTAGCACAGAGCCCCACGTGGGGCTTGAACCCACGAGCTGTGATATCATGATCTGACCCAAAGTTGGATGCTTGACCAACTGAGCCACCCAGGTGCCCCACATTACTCTAATTTCTTATAAACCTGAGACCAAAAGGAACTAGATTGTTAGATTAGCTTCTTTTTTTTTTTTCTTTTCATGTTTATTTATTTGAGAGAGAGAGAGAGAGCATTAATGGGAGGGATAGAGAGAGAGGAGAGAGAGAATCCCAAGCAGGCTCTTCGCTGTCAGTGCAGAGCCTGTCATGGGGCCCAAACCTGAGATCATGATCTGAGCTGAAATCCAGAGTTGGATGGTTAACCGGCAGAGCCACTTAAGCACCCTAGATTATCTTAGAGACCTTTGACATTAGAATCCTAAGGGCTCCCCTATGTTATTTTTTATTTTATTTTTAAAAAATTTTAAATGTCTTTATTTTATGTTGAGAGACAGAGACAGAGAACAAGCAGGGGAGGGGCAGAGAGAGAGGGAGACACAGAATCCGAAGCAGGCTCCAGGCTCTGAGCTGACAGCACAGAGCCCGATGTGGGGCTTGAACCCACGGACTATGAGATTATGACCTGAGCTGAAGTTGGACGCTTAACCAACTGAGCCACCCAGGTGCCCCACCCTATGTTATTTTTTAAAGGGTCACATCCAGCTTTCGTTTTAGACTAGTTTCTACAACATATATGTTTCTACAACATTCTCCATATTTCCCTTGTCCAGGTGTGACATAAACCATATGTTCTACTGTAACTTTATTTTAACTCATTTATGACCCTTTCAAGATTGAAAGGTAATGTAGTGTATAAATGTGAAAATTTAAGATTGGTAGGGAGACTAATGGACTTGCTATTTTTGGTTAGAAATAGAACCAAGGTTACTTGAAGCTTGGGGCCAGGGTGGACCACATTGACCAGTGCTTTTCCTCAGGATACTAAAATTTAGAGGACACAACAGTTGTTTTTTGTTTTGTTTTTTTTTTAAGTGTATTTATTTATTTTGAGAGAGAGCATGAGTGGGGGATGGACAGAGACAGGGAGAGAGAGAATCCCAAGTAGGCTCCACCCTGTCAGTGCAGAGCCCGGGAGAGAGAGAATCCCAAGTAGGCTCCACCCTGTCAGTGCAGAGCCCGACATGGTCCTCAAACCCACAAACCATTAGTTCATGACCTGAGCCGAAATCAAGAATCGGACACTTAACCCACTGAGCCACCCACGTGCCCCAGGATACAACAGTTTTTAAAAATTACTTTTGAAGATTGTGCTTTTCTTTGTTTTTTGTTTTTTAAGTTTATTTATCTTTGAGAGGGAGAGAGAGTGCATGCGGGACAGAGAGAGGGAGACAGAGAATCCCAAGCAGGCTATAAACTGTCCATGCACAGTCGGACAAGGGTCTCGAACCCATGAACTCTGAGATCATGGCCTGATCATTGTCACCTCTCTCTCAACAGCCTTTAGACAGTGGAGTTTAACACCTAATAAGCCAGAATAAGCTTAAAGTAGGAAACCACCAAGTGGTTGGTGTTGGTAGGAATGCCCATCTGTGGGCCACGTGATGCATTACCAAATCGATCTGAGAGCATATTAGGTGCTTGCTCCAGGAACCAAAATTCTAGTCAGGGCCCTGCCCGAAACCATTGTTTTTTCCACCACGCACACCAGTATGGCTTTGAATTCGCTATAAATTGTTTAAACCCGTTCTCATCGTTAAGTACTTACTGTTAAACATTCCACAGTGGTGAAGATTGGGTTATTAATTTGAGACTTTTCTTCTTTTCTGATCAAAGTGTTTAAAGCTATAAATTTCTTCCGGGGCACTATTTTAGCTGCATCCTATACCTTTTGAAATGTTGTATTTTTCACTTTTCAACTCAAAATAATTTTAAATTTCCCCTATCATTTCTTCTCTGACCATCTGGATTATTTAGAAGTGTGTTGTTTAATTTCCAAGTTTTGAAGTTTTCTCTGATTACTTTCTGTTGTGGATCTCTAACTTAGTTCCTTTTTGGTTAAAGAACATACTTTGTATGATTTTAGTCTTTTTAGATGTATTGATAGCTCTCATTTTTATGGCTTGCATATGGTCTGTCCTAGAATGTTCCATGTGTGCTTGGAAAGAACATGTAACATAGGTTATTTTTGTGTTGTTGTTTTTTTTTTTTTTTTATGTTTTATTTATTTCTAGGAGAGAGAGAGAGAGAGACAGCGTGAGCAGGGGAGGGTCAGAGTGAGAGGGAGTCACAGACTGAAACAGGCTCCAGGCTCCAAGCTGGCAGTCAGCATAGAGCCCGACGCGGGGCTCGAACCCACGAACCGCGAGATCATGACCTAAGCGAAAGTTGGACGCTTAACCGACTAAGCCACCCAGGCGCCCCTGTGTTGTTTTTTTAAAATTATATTGTCAATATCATATTATAAATATTTTGCACATTTCATTGTTAATAAAGTATTTTTTAAAGTTTATTTTGAGAGAAAGCATGGGCGGGGAGGGGAAGAGAGAGAGGGAGAGAGAGAATCCCAAGCAGACTCTGTATTGTCAGCGTAGAGCCCGATGCGGGGCTTGAACTCACGAACTGTGAGATCATGACCCAAACTGAAGTTGGTCACTTAACCGACTGAGCCACCCAGGCGGCCCTTTGCACATTTCATTATTCTAAACACATTTTCAAGAAGTCTGATGGCTGCATAAGAAGTTGGTATAAATACTCTGGAGCTGTATGTCCTAATGGGAAAGTCCATGGGCTCTGAATTGGACATACCTGAGTTTGAACACCAGTTTTTATTATTGTCTGTCCTCGGGGAAGTTAGATAACCTCTCTCTGAGCCTCATTGTTTTCATCTCTAAAAGGGACAGTAATAGGTTTTTGGGTGGTTAACAACAGATACTGACTCTTGACTGATTTCAGATGTTATAACACAGGCCTGAGCAGGGTGAGTAGTATAGGAACCGGGGTGGCACCAGCAATGCAGAGAGCAAGAACGAATGACCGTGTCCTCACGGTAGCACTCTCACAAAGCATCTCTGGCAACCTTGTCCTTCCTTGGTTACCGCTTATGACTTAGACTCTAAGGGTAACAGGTCTGACAGCTTCAGGCTAGGCCAAATATGCCCACCACTTGGCCAGAGGATGGTATGGCACCTTGATTAACATTCCCCCAAAACTGCAGTGGGGGAAGGAAGGGTGGTTCCCAAAGAAATATTGGGGTTTCATTGTTAAAAGGGGGAGGGGACACTAGACACCAGCAGAAACAACAGATCATATAATACAGGGTTATTATGATTGAATGAGCAAATAGCTATAAAGTGATGGATACAGGGCTGGGCTCAATAAAAATAATCCTTATTTTTATTACAGTGCATTCTTTACCATTATTTTAAGGAGTTAATATATTCTGAAATGAATTTTTGTGGCACGACCCTGAGATGGTGTTAGCAAACTCCATTGCAGTGTTAAAATGTATTCTGTTTATTTTCTAAGAATTTGGATTATTGGAGAGAATAAGTCAAGGCTTGGGTCCCCTAAACGATTTAGCTAGGAAAGTATAATCTTTCAGTCCCATGTTTGTTTATTTTTTAATTTTTATCTCCTCCAGTCTGAAGCTTAAGCTCAGCAAAGACACAGCGCTCACTGTGGGCATTTATAATCTGGTCCAGAAGGCGTTCAGGCCTCCTCCGGTGAGGCTTTATCGGGAAACCAATGAACCAGTGAAAACCAAGACTCGGACATTTAATGTAAACACAGGCAGTTTGCTTCTGCCTAGTGACACCAAGAGGTCTCAGGTAGGCCTGCCTTCTTATTGAATTTTCTCCCATTGAAGGGTCAATAGATCATTTTTTGAAAGAGACTTTATTTTTTAATTTATTTTTTATAATTTTTAATGTTTATTTTTGAGAGACAGAGAACAAGCGGGTGGGGGTAGAGAGAAAGAGGGAGACACAGAATCGGAAGCAGGCTGCAGGCTTCAGGCTCCGAGCTGTCAGCACAGAGCCCGATGCGGGGCTTGAACTCACGAACTGTGAGATCATGACCTTAGCTGAAGTCTTAACAAACTGAGTTCAACAAACTGAGCCCACCCAGTCACCCCTAGAGATTTTATTTTTAAGTAATCTCTATACCCAACATAGAGCTTAAATTTACAACCCCAAGATTAAGAGTCCACCAGCTGAGCCAGCCAGGCACTCTGGCATCTAGATCATTAATACCTTGAGAGTTAGAAAGTTAGAGCCAATGTTTGAAAGAGATGTCAGCCCCTGACCACTCTGTATTCTGCTCTATCAGTTAGATTCCTTGCTTGGATACAGTAGCAGAAAATGCCTTAGAGTTAACTAGTGAGATGAATGAGGCAAAGTATGTGAGGTGTGAACTGTACTTTTTTTAGGGAGAGGTGTCCCCCCCAACCAAATTTTTCCTGTGCTTTGAAATGATACACGTATGCCTTTCTTAATCTGAAGGACAGACTATGAATGCAGAACATTGTCTTTCCTCATTCTCTCACCTTTGTGCAATCTGTGGAATGATTTGATATCTAAAATTAAAATCAAATGAGTCATCCTTTTTAATTATACAAAACGTGGGAGAGAATCTGAGATTTTTTTTTTTTTTGCATAAGGTCAGGACCAACCAAGGATCAACTAAGTAACTAAAATGTTATTTTCAAAATGTTTATTTAGGGGCGCCTGGGGGGCTCAGTCAGTTAAGCGTCTGACTTCGGCTCAGGTCATGATCTCATGGTTCGTGGGTTTGAGCCCTGTGTCGGGCTCTGTGCTGACAGCTAGCTCAGAGCCTGGAGCCTGTCTTCGGATTCTGTGACTCCCTCTCTCTCTGACCCTCCCCTGCTCATGCTGTCTCTATCAATCTCTCAAAAATAAAATAGAATAGAATAAAATAAAATAAAATAAATAAAATAACTGTTTATTTATTTATTTTGAGAGATGGAACAAGAGAGCAGGGGAGGGGGAGAGAGAGTCCAAAGCTGGCTCTATGCAGTCAGCTCAGAGTCCGATGCGGGGCTCGAACCCACGAACCATGGGATCATGACCTGAGCTGCAGTCAAGGGTCAGATACTTAATTGACAGAGCCACCCAGGTGCCCCTAAAATATTATTTTGATTCAACCCATGAGATATTTTTTGGAGCACAAATCTCAAGCTGGAGTGTTTTTCCCTACCTTTTGACAGAGAAGACAAGAAATTTCCCCTTCCGTTTTGGAAGTAACTAGTTTTATAGGTTGGTTTTTTCATAGGCAGTAACTCTTTTGGTCATGGAGTTTCTTTCTTGATCCAGTGTGCTTGTGAAAAAACTTCGTGTTCATTAAATTCAAGTTTGACTCTTGTTAAGTCCTGTTACGAACTGTATATCCAGGACCACGTTGCAGACACTAGAGTTTAGAAGTGATACTATGTGTGTTTGTGTGTCTGTCTGTCTCCCACACTGAGATCTAGCACAGTACCTGAAATAGGTCCTCCTGATAAATAGGCATGGTTCAAGTTTACTTTGTGGGTCAGGGACGATGCTGAGAGTATATGTTAACTGAGGGAAGGAATAAATGCTTGAAGGGCATGGCCTTCACCAGAGAGATGGTGGTTTGTTTATTTATTTTAGAGAGACAGACAGAGTGTGAGCGGGGGAGGGGCAGAGAGAGAAGGAGACACAGAATCCGAAGCAGGCAGCAGGCTCTGAGCAAGAGCTCAGCACAAGAGCCTGATGCGGAGTTCAAACCCACCAACCGTGAGATCATGACCTGAGCCGAAGTTGGCCACTTAACCGACTGAGCCACCTAGGCGCCCCTATTTTTTTTTTTTTATTAAAAAAATATTTTCTTATTGTTTACTTATTTTAGAGAGAGAGAGATTGAGAGAGTGCAAGTGGGGAAGGGGCAGAGAGAGAAGGAGACACAGAATCCGAACCACGCTCCAGGCTTCTGAGATGTTAGCACAGAGCCCGACACAGGGCTCAAACCCATGAACAGTGAGATCATGACCTGAGCCGAAGTTGGACACTTAACCAACGGAGCCACGCAGGCGCCCCAGAAAGATGGTGGTTTAGGGGCGCCTGGGTGGCTTAGTCGGTTGAGCGTCCGACTTTCGCTTAGGTCGTGATCTCACAATTCGTGGGTTCGAGCCCCGCGTCGGGCTCTGTGCTGACTGCCAGCTCAGAGCCTGGAGCCTGTTTCGGTCTGTGACTCCCTCTCTCTCTGACCCTCCCCTGCTCACGCTGTCTCTCTCTCTGTCTCCTAGAAATAAATAAAACATTAAAAAAAAAAAAATGTTAAAAAAGAAAGATGGTGGTTTAAAGCCCAGTTCCGTTGCATAACCCGGAGCAAGTCACCAGCCATCGAGCTCATTTCACTCATCCATAAAACAGTTTTTAACATCTGTTGCTGAGGATTGGCACAGAAGATAGATTGTACGACAAACATAAAGTGCCTGGCAGGCACCCAGTGAATGTTAATTCCCTATGGTAGGAGGAAGCTGCGCCTGGAGAAGAAAGTGTACTTTAACATGCTAGTGTCATGTGGCAACGACTGCATCTCCATGTAGCCTCTTTATGTGTCCCTCGTGTTCCCCTTCCTTTAGATCTATGGGAATCGTCAGATTGTGCTAGAGAAAGAGGAAACAGAAGAGCTGAAACGGTTTGATGAGCCAGGTTTGATTCTCATCGGTTTCAAGCCCTTGATAATGCTGAAGAAGCACCATTACCTGAGGCCCTCCCTGTTTGTGTACCCTGAGGAGTCCCTGGTAAATGGTATGTGGCGTCCGTGGGTCAGGGGTAAATGAATAACAGAAGGCAGTTTACTGAGCGAGCCGCCTGGAGACTGGATAGGATGGCTTTAGGGGGTGTTTTTTTTTTTTTTTAATCCTTAATGTTTTATTTATTTCTGAGAGAGAGGGAGAGACAGAGACAGTGCGAGCAGGGGAGGGTCAGAGAGAGGGAGACACAGAATCTGAAACAGACTTCAGGGTCTGAGCTGTCAGCACAGAGCTCAATGAGGGGCTCGAACCCACGAACTGTGAGATCATGACCTGGGCCGAAGTAGGACGCTTAATTGACTGAGCCACCCAGGTGCCCCTAGGGGGTGTTTTAAAAGTGTTTCATGATCAGGTAAGTTTTGGAAATTTGGGACTAAGCAAAGTTAAAGAGATTTCTTTAGGACCTATAACACACTGCTGTGCATTGTGAGTATCTGGGGTGGGAGGGGGGATATAGAATTCACATTTTTAAAGCTTGCTTCCTATGGAATTCTGTCTTTGAGGCATCAGTCAGAGACTTAACAAAGAGGAAAAACCAGTTTCTTACCTATTGTCGGCAGTTAAAGATGAGACAAAGTAGGTGGTTGCGTTTGTGCTGTCCAGACCTATATTTCTCCGTGCTGTAGCTAATGAACCCCCTGGATTTGACCTGATTGCCTTTCATTAATAACTGGGATTTATATCATCAGCCTAAATATAGTAAAAGTGAACTAGTGTTAATAATTCACACTCCTAAATGGGGTTATTTGAGGCATCTAATCCCTTTCTCTTCCTTTTCGTGCCTTTGCTGCTCATCAGCTCTGGGCTCTCACACCTTCCCTGTTGAAGTATCACGAGCCCATGTAAGAAAATGGGAGAGAATTTGTAGGTTCTAACGCGAGCTAAGAGGGGAAAAAAGGAGGCACTTTGAGTATGCAGATCCCTGGGATGTTTGTTTTCCAGGGAGCTCAGCTCTGTTCAGTGCTCTGCTCACCAAGTGTCTGGAGAAGGAGGTCATGGCAGTGTGCAGATACACCCCCCATCGGAACACCCCTCCTTATTTTGTGGCCTTGTTGCCACAGGAGGAGGAGCTGGATGACCAGAAAATTCAGGTGACTCCCCCAGGTAAGTGGAAGAGATACTTCAGTGCTACTGAACTTTGCTCCGACTTTGGAATCACTCCTAGGATCCCAACTCAGACCTGCTGAACCAAAGTGTCTAGGAATGGGGCCCAGGGGATGTGTATTTTCAGAGTTGCACAGACGCCAAGATGCAGAGCCAGGTAGAGCTGCCAAATGTGGTTGTGCAGTGCGCAGCATGTACACCTGTACAAGGCAGCTCTGCAGTCCCAGTTGAGAATTGGCTGCATAGGGACTGTTAGCAGGTTGCTGTCAAAGTTGATGGCCCAGTGCTGATATCTTTCTTTACTAAAAGCCATTCTTTGGCACCCTTGCAGTGTTTAATGTTTGGTTTATCTTCTGCACACACTAAGGCAGTGAGGTATAGTAGAAAGACCATGGGTTTTGAAGTCCTACTTGGCTAGATCTTACTCTTTTCTTTTTAATGAAGTTTTTTTTATTTTTTAAATGTTTTATTTATTTCTAGGAGAGAGAGAGAGAGAGACAGCATGAGCAGGGGAGGGTCAGAGAGAGAGGGAGTCACAGACTCCGAAACAGGCTCCAGGCTCCGAGCTGGCAGTCAGCATAGAGCCCGACGCGGGGCTCGAACCCACAAACCGCGAGATCATGACCTAAGCGAAAGTCGGACGCTCAACCGACTAAGCCACCCAGGCGCCCCATCTAGATCTTACTCTTATGTGTGGGCAAGTTTCCTTTCTTTTGTTTCAGGCCCATCTCTGCCACACATTACCTGGCTAACTTGGGCAAATAACCTTTCTATTTATATTCCATACTTGTAAAGATGAGAATTCTGGAACACCTTTCTCTTCAGGTTGTTTCACATTTGAAATAAGTTAATAAATGTACAAATGCCTAGCCTGAAGTTCCCAGGAGATGGTAGACTTCTTTTTTATCCATGCTAATAAAAATGAACTTTATGGGGGCGCCTGGGTGGCTTAGTCGGTTAAGCATCTGACTCATGATTTCAGCTCAGGTCATGATCACACAGCAGTGAGACTGAGCCCCTCGCTGGGCTGCGTGCTGACCACTCAAAGCCTGTTTGGGATTCTCTCTGCCTCTCCCCTGCTTGTTCTCTCAACAATAAATGAATGAACATTTAAAAAAAAAAAAAAACAAAAAACAAGGAGAAATCCCAACTCTTTAAAAAACATGAACCTTGTAAAGTAACTGTTTGAATATGTTATATCTCTAACCCCTGTTCTTCAAAATGCTGAGGAATAGCTTTTGTATGTCAGTTCGGAAGCTCTGGTCTCAGCTCCAAGCTCCTCCTGCGATGTTCCATGCCGCTGAGGCCGAGACTCTCCGAACTCAGGCTCCTCCTTTGCCGGCTGGCCCCCGGGGAGACTCCGTCACTGGTGCTCCAGGGAGGCTGCAGGGCAGAGGAGAGCGGAGGCACTTCTCCTTCCTCTTGCTCAGTGCCGTGGGCGTTGCTAGCAAGGGCCCCTCACCTGGCAGCAGAGGTCGGTTCCAGGCTAGATTTTGCAGCCTTTTAGAACATGACAGAAAATTGGAACACGATCAGCCTGACAACCCTTCCTCTTTCCTTTGAGTGTGTGGAAGGGGTTGGGGAACAGAAGGGAGAGGCTGAGGCTCAGAGGAGGGCCTGATGGAGCTGGGTCTCAGCAGTCCTGGGAGGGGGCCCTGTGTGGCTGGCTCTGGGTGTATCCAGAAAGCTGGAGGCTGGGACCAGCTGCTACTGGCCCAGAGCCCTGGCCTGGCCAGTGGCGGCAGGAACGGGAAGGCATGGGAAGGGGCGCTCCCGCCTCCCTCTCTGCGCCGAGGCTGCTAACGGGAATCAGCTGATAAAGGAGACATGGGGCTGGGATCACAGCTGCATAGAAGGGTGAGTTTGAAGTTGAGAGACAAATGACGACTCCACAGCTGAAACCGTTTGTTGAGTCAAATCTCAGGAAACTAATCCCCTTTCTTCAGGTTTCCAGCTTGTCTTCTTACCCTATGCCGACGACAAACGGAAGGTGCCCTTTACTGAAAAAGTCATGGCTAACTCAGAGCAGATAGACAAGATGAAGGCCATTGTTCAGAAGCTGCGTTTTAATTATAGGTGAGTCGTGGATTGTCTCAGGCTTTCTTCTGGAACAGTCTCCTGGGGTGAGAGGATTATTTTACTCCCAGGCTCCTCCTGAACACGGGAAGAAGGAGTATTCAGGCTCTTTCTCTCCCCATCTCCCACCACCTCTCCTTCGTCTTTTTTTTTTTTCTTTTTGTACTTCCATGACCCTACCTTCTCCATTTCTCTCTCTGCCCACGGCTTCCAGTGACAGACAGTAGGGCAGGGACTGTTAGCTTTTAAGTCCGCTTTTAGGGGTGCCTGGGTGGCTCAGTCCGTTAAGCATCTGACTTCGCCTGAGGTCATGGTCTTGCAGTTTGTGGGTTCGAGCCCCGCGTCGGGCTGTGTGCTGACAGCTCAGAGCCTGGAGCCTGCTTCAGATTCTGTGTCTCCCTCTCTCTGCCCATCCCCCGCTCATGCTCTGTCTCTCTCTGTCTCAAAAATAAAGTGTAAAAATTTTTTGTTTTTTAAATCAGCTTTTGGATTCCAGTAAATTGAAACTTAGAGAAAAGTTGATTCAAGAGACAAGAGTCCTAGCTATTGTATCTGGGCTCTTTTCCTCAGCTGACCCTGGGCCTGTGATATCTCAGTCAGATTTATTTAATTTTATTTAATTAAAAATTTTTTTTTAATGTTTAAATGTATTTATGATACTGTTTCACTAGAAGCGACGCCTTTGAGAACCCGGTGCTGCAGCAGCACTTCAGGAACCTGGAGGCCCTGGCTTTGGATTTGATGGAGCCCGAACAGGCAGTGGATTTGACATGTAAGAAGCCAGTGACCAAGCTCTTTCCGTGGGAGGTTTTTGTAACAGTTTCCCTCTGGACTGGAAATATGGATGCATTTCCCAGCATCCTCCAGAGACTCAGCCTTGTTTTTTCAGCAGTCTCGGAGAGATTTTCCAGACCAGCATAGATGGCCTTAGAACAGATTTGGCTCATTTGGCCGTGAGAAGAGGAGGGAGTGCCAGGCTTCTGAGACCTGCGTTGAACCAGGCCCCCTCATGACTACATGTGGTAAAAGTAAAAAAAAAAAATAATAGTAACATTTATTGAGCGCCTACTGTGTGCCAGGCACTGTGTGTCCTAGCTGTGGACTCATCTAATTCTTCTAACTATGAGGCAGGCACTGTTGTCCTTATTTGATAGAGGAGGTCGCAATTTGCCAAGGCCCTAAGTAGTGAGGGTGGATCTAGGTTTAGAATCTGGTATGTCTGGCCCAGAACCGTCGCTCTGCACCCCTGTGTTTCCTGTCTGTCCATCAGACTGTATGCCCTGCCTGAGAAGATCCTCGTGACCCAGCATTGGGGAGATTTGCCTGGCCTCCTCGGTTGAGCCCTGAGCTCGCTACCAGTCCCTTTCTTGATTATGGTTCTCTTACGTGTTTTGTAAGAAGACACACACGGTTTGATGATACAGGTAAGTATCAGCTGGGAAACAGAGGTGATTTAATGAAGGCTCTTGACGGAGGTTGAGAAGATCAGAACAATTAGTGTGGCCTGCTTAGCTTCCCAGTTATTATTCTTAATTAGTTTTAACTGTTTAATGTTTATTTTTGAGAGAGACAGAGTGTGAGCAGGGGAGGGGCAGAGAGAGAGGGAGACACAGAATCCCTAGGAGGCTGCAGGCTCTGAGCCGTCAGCACAGAGCCCGACGCGGGGTTTGAATCCACGAACTGTGAGATCATGACCTGAGCTGAGGTCGGACGCTTAACCGATGGAGCCCCCTACCTCCCAGCTATTAATGATCTCTCTTTACTAGACAGAACAGCCCCAGCACTAGATGTATAAAAGCTATTGTACCTGTATTACGGTGGTCACTGTTAGCTGGATCTGGCCGAAGAGGAACCTTGGAATTAAGCAGCCAATCTTTTTTTTTTTTTAAGTGAACTTATTTTTCAGAAAGAGAAAGAGCATGAGTGGGGGAGGGGGATAGAGAGGGAGAGACAGAAGCCCAAGTAGGCTCTGTGCCACCAGCGCAGAGCCTGACGTGAGGCTTGATCCTACAAACCGTGAGACCATGACCTGAGCCAAAGTCAAGAGTCAGACGCTCAACCGACTGAGCCACCCAGGTGCCCCCAAGCAGCCATCTTTCTTGATGGCCTTCACATAAATCAGGGAGGACGTTGCCTGGTCTGCAGCAGTGTGGTGAAGGACACAGGCTTTGGAAACAACTGATACAGATTTGAATCCCAGCTCTGCCACTTACTAACTTGAGTAGCTCTGGAATCTTATGTCCTCTACCTGAAACTCCGTTTCATTATACGTAAAATGGGGACAGTGATACTGTTCTTATAAGTATTGACACCGTCTCGGTCCTGAAGCTCAGGAAGTGCTCAGAACACGGTTGTTCCCCTTTATTCCACAGCATTCTCTCTCTTCCTCGCCAGGGCCTTGGCCTCATACATTCTGGCTCCTGTCCTGTAATTTTACTGCAAGCTGTGTTTGCTCTTCCTGCCTCTATTTTCAAAACAGTTTGGGGGCGCCTGGGTGGCTTAGTCGGTTAAGCATCTGACTTTCGCTTAGGTCATGATCTCGCGGTTCGTGGGTTCGAGCCCCGCATCGGGCTCTGTGCTGACTGCCAGCTCAGAGCCTGGAGCCTGTTTCGGAGTCTGTATCTCCCTCTCTCTCTGACCCTCCCCTGCTCACACTGTCTCTCTTTCTCCTAGAAATAAATAAAAATATTAAAAAAAAAAAAACAGTTTGGGCTGCTCTGATGTTTCCAAAACTCCAGGGGCCCAGGCTTCTGGCCTCAGCCTGCTGTCTCCCTCGTGTCAGTGACCCCCAAGCCTGTGTCTCCAGCCGTACCCCTTGTCTTGGGCTGTGGCCGGAGCTGCTGCTGCCTGGTGGCAGCGGCGCAGGCCCCGGGTGTCCCGCCGCTCAGACACCTGACGCCTTTGCATCCTGTTCTTTTACGTTCTTCGCTCGTTTCCAAGCCGGTGTATATCTGCTTCCCTCTGACACGCGATACGGTTTCCTTTGAATAAATAACCTCCCAAAGACTCTGAGCTGTTTCTCGCTTTCTCTGTGTGGCTTTGTGACCCCACCCTGCCTTGGTTTTCTTCCTGGGCCGACAGTGCCCCAGGACGCCTTTGCTGGACCTGCTTCCCTTGTTTTCCTCCTCTAAACACGGGAGCGAGTGCACGAGGCGATTCGCTTCTCCCTCCTCAGGCGACACCAGTGGTCCCAAGTGTGCTTCCTGCACCAGCGGCACCCGTGTCTCCTGGAGACTTGTCAGAAATGCCCATTTTCAACCCTTTCCCAAGCTGACTGAATCTGAAACTCAGGTTGTTTTACAACAAGCCTTCCAGGTTATTCTGAGGCCTGCTCTTTCCTCTAGCATGCTGCTTCTCCGCTCTGGCTGTGCAGCAGAATCACCCCGGGGGGGGGGGGCGCTTCAAAAAATCTGGCGGTTTAGGCCTCACCCCCAGACCACTTAAATCGGAATCCCTGGGGCTGGGGTTTGGGCATCAGAATTTTTTAAAAGTCTTAGCTGGTTTCCAGGTTGAGAACCAAAGCTTTCGCAGAGACCCCTGTAGTCTGGAACATGGGGCTTCTGTCTCGGCAGGAGCCCAGTTTGGCTTGACATTGTGCCGTCTTCTGGGCACACCAGGGGGCAGGAGCTCCCCTTTGTACTTTGGAAACGTGGCCACGTGAGGAGATGAGGAGACACTCGTCTCTTCGTGCCTGTCCTTGATGTGACACAGCTCAGGTCTCAAGCTCTAGAAACTACATAATGGTTAGGTAACAAAAAAGAAAACAAGTACGATCTTTCCCCCAAAGATCATCTTTTTCCGTTGTATCGGTCCCGGGAATGCGCCTGCCATCCCTCCACACACAGCTCCGGATGATCTTTCCAAATAGGATCATGTTGTCCCCTTGCTCGTAGCCCTTTAGAGTTTCCCCACTGTTCTCAGGACAGAGTCTAAGACCGGAGCAGGTGTTCAAGGCTTCCATGACCTTGCCGTTATCACCTTCCCAGCCTCCTCGCTGACATTCTACCTTCAAGCTGTATGTTCCCTGCTGTTTCTTAGTCCTGTGCCTTCTGCTTGGGACAGTCCCCGCCTGAGGAAGAGCACTCAGCTTTCCAGACTTGGCTGCAGAAAGTCTTTCCTGACCCCTGCTGTGTTCCGTGTGCCTGGTTCAGTCCCTTCCTTCACGGCACTGCCATCTACTGTATTTATGTTCTTACTGCCTCCTTACCCTGACTTACCCTGTAATCCCACCGGGGACGCAGACTCTTGCTTGCAACTCCAGAATCTAGCCCTGTTCTCACCTCTGTCACTTGCAGCTGTGTGACCTTGAACATGTCATCTAATCTCTCTGCTTTCCTCTATAAAACAAGGAAACAAATTTACCTACCCTAGAGGTCGTTAGAGGAGTAGATAAATAAGGTTAAAGCAACGAGAAGGGTGCCTGGCTGTAGTAAGTGCTCATTAAATGCTATTGATAGAAGGTACTCGGTTAATACTGGGAAGACTTTGTCAAATGAGTTCTTGACAAGGTTAGTTGCCTCCTCCTGGACCCTTTCCTGACTTCCCCCAACCCTTGCAGTTAGGTGCTTTCTCTTCGGGTCCCTGTAGACTTGGAACTGGATGGGAAGCCAGGGCCTGTGACTCATCTGGCCATTCTTCATGTGTTTTGATTTTTCTAGTGCCCAAAATTAAAGCAATAGACAAGAGACTCGGCCCCCTGGTGGATGAGTTTAAGGAGCTTGTCTACCCACCTGATTATAATCCTGAAGAAAAAGTTTCCAAGAGGAAACAAGGTGAGGAAATGGGCTATTTTTTTTTTAAGTTCATTTATTTTTGAAAGCAGAAGAGAAGAGAGAGAGGGTGCGAGCGGGGGAGGGGCAGAGAGAGGAGGAATGAGGATCTGAAGAGGGTTCCCTGCTGACAGCAGAGAGCCTGATGCAGGGCTTGAACTCATGAACTGTGAGATCATGACTTGAGCTGATGTCGAACACTTAGCTGACTGAGCCACCTAGGCAACCCAGGAGCTGTTTTTTTATTTAAAAAATTTTAATGTTTATTTTTGAGAGAGGGAACATTAGTAGGAGAGGGGCAGAGAGAGAAGGAGACGGAGAATCTGCGCTATCAGCGCAAAGCCTGATGTGGGGCTCAAACTCACAGCCCCACAAGGAAATGGAGCTGTGAGAGGCTAGGTTGGGTGGCCATGGAGCCTTCTCTCTTTTCCATCAGAAGTGACTCCTTTAGGAGCACCCGGGTGGCTCGGTCAGTTAGGCATCCAACTCTTGATTTTGGCTCAGGTCATGATCTCAGTTCGTGAGACAGAACCCTGTGTCGGGCTCGGTGCTGACAGCGTGAAGCCTGCTTGGGGTCGTCTCTCTCTCACTGTCTCTCTGCCCCTCCCCTGCTCTCATGAACATGTGTGCATGCTCTCAAAATAAATAAAAAACAAAACAAAAAAGAACTGCCCTGTGTGAACTGCCACCCTAGCGCTTCACACCTGTGCACATGTTAGTGATTTACTTGTTTATCCCACTCAGTCTGCACTTGCCTATCATCTAGTGTGGTGCCTTAGTACTGTGCACGGTGCTCTGTAAATGCCTTTTGAAGGAAGGGAGGAAGGAGTGACTTCCCCAGAGTGAGCACCAATTTTGGGCAGACTGATGGCACTTACACTACTCTGAACTTCCTTCTAGGTGGGATACGGTGTTGACTTTATGCTTAAATGAAGCTGCCCTATCAAAATACTCTCCCGTGGGGTTCTAGGTGGGCCTCCCAGCTTATGGGAAATGGTTGGCCTGCGGCCCAGGTTGTAGAAGGGCCACTGTTTGTTAGCACTTCCAATCACTCCCTCCTGACCTTTTCCCCCAGATGATAAAGGTTCTGAAAGCAAGAGACCCAAGGTGGAGTTATCTGAAGAGGAGCTGAAGGCCCATGTCAGCAAGGGCACGCTGGGTAAGCTCACTGTGCCCATGCTGAAGGAAGCGTGCCGGGTGTATGGGCTGAAGGGCGGGTTGAAGAAGCAGGAGCTGATGGACACGCTCGCTAAGCACTTCCAGAAGAACTGACCAGAGACCAAACAGCTATAGCCACCCTTCTGCATGAGAGCCGGGCTTCCTGGTCTCAGTAAGTTAAAACCTGTTTCTCCTGGGCCAGGAAGAGTCTGTCTGATAGCCAAGAACTTTACTTTTATGAGACTTTCTGTTGCCATGGAGACAGCATAGCCTCCCACTTTGCTGTGCTTTACTGTCTGAATAAAGAGCTCTACTGGGGCGCCTGGGTGGCTTAGTCGGTTGAGCGTCCGACTTTCGCTTAGGTCATGATCTCGCGGTTCGTGGGTTTGAGCCCCGCATCGGGCTCTGTGCTGACTGCCAGCTCAGAGCCTGGAGCCTTTTCAGAGTCTGTCACTCCCTCTCTCTCTGACCCTCCCCTGCTCACGCTGTCTCTCTCTCTCTCCTAGAAATAAATAAAATATTAAAAAAAAAATAAAAATAAAGAGCTCTAACTTTGTACTATATACAGTTCTTCTTATTTTTCTTATTTTTTCAATGTTTTTATTTTTGAGAGAGAGAATACAAGCAGGGGAGGGACAGAGAGAGGAAGGGACAGAGGATCTGAAGCGGGCTCTGTGCTGACAGCAGTGAGCCTGATGTGGGGCTCAAACTCACCGTGAGATATGACCTGAGCCGAAATCGGACACTTAACCAACCGACTGAGCCACCCAGGTGCCTGTATACTGTTCTTTGTGTGAAAGAGAGAGATGTGTTTGCCTCACCTCCAAAGATCACTTGCCATTGGCTATTAGCTTAATTTGCTCTCCCATTAGGAACAATCCTCATCACCATGGAAACAAAGTAAGTATCAGGGTAGGGGCGCCTGGGTGGCTTAGTCGGTTAAGCGTCCGACTTTCGCTTAGGTCATGATCTCGCAGTTCGTCGGTTCGAGCCCCGCGTCGGGCTCTGTGCTGACTGCCAGCTCAGAGCCTGGAGTCTGATTCGGAGTCTGTGTCTCCCTCTCTCTCTGACCCTCCCCTGTTCACACTGTCTCTCTTTCTCCTGGAAATAAATAAAAATATTAAAAAAAAACAAACAACAAAGTAAGTATCAGGAAAGGTAGGGGAGAATGTGACAATTAAGGACAGGTAGACATACTTCAGGAATGACAAGCCCCAGCAATATTCTCCTCATCCTCTGTCCCCCCAACCGTTTTTCCTTTTCACTGTGTCAATACAGAGCTAAAGATCAGAGTTCAGAAGCAGGAAGAATGAAACATTTAAAAAATTTTTTTGTTTAATGTTTTATTTATTTCTGAGAGAGAGAGAGAGACAGCGTGAGCAGGAGAGGGTCAGAGAGAGAGGGAGACACAGAATCCGAAGCAGGCTCCAGGCTCTGAGCTGTCAGCACAGAGCCCGACATGGGGCTTGAACCCACGAACCGTGAGATCATGACCTGAGCTGAAGTCGGACGCTTAACCGACTGAGCCACCCAGGTGCCCCAGAACGGAACATTTCTAATTCTGGTACAATTTGCTTCATGAGTAAATGGCAGCCCCCTTCATGCTGCATTCCTCTTCGTGTGACATTCAGGTACCTGAAGATACATTTTCTATTGCCTCGAGAATTTGGATTCCAGCATACATGAAAGGAGTTATTCCTCCTGTTTTTTCAGAGGAGCTGTCGTAAGCTGAGGAGAGGTCGTAGCATTAGGAGAAGGGGAAGAGGAGCAGGGTGTCTTTCTCTTTGTTGCTGCTACAGCTTTTGAAGAATTAGAGGGAAGTTAATCCTCAAAAGCATCTCTTCTAATCGGAGAAGTAACTTCCCTCCCCCACATAAGGAAAGAAAGCCAAACAAGAGCATTACATCTGCTTTCCAAGTAAAAACAAAACACCTTATGACACTCCAAGAACAAAGAAGCCAAAAGTGAAAATCTCTCACAAGAGTAACTTGACCCCTCCTATATCTCATGAGATGACGTCTAGTCCTGAAAGACACACGGTCTACAGACCCTGAATCTCCAGCCGACCTTGGAGGATGCAAACCCTTCCAGATGCTTTCCTTACTTCTCTCGGGCTAATTCTTCAAAAGCAGTAGCAGCAGAAAGAGCAGAAAAGGGACAGAGGATAGAAAAGGGATGGTGGTGGTGGGTGGGTTGGGGGGAGATTTTTCAAAATGTAACTTGGCTGACATTGAGAGGGACTTGGGGATACTGTGTTGAGAACAAGTTCCTCTTCCTCATCACAGTTTGGGCTTAAAGATAATGGAAATACAATATTAACATATTACAGATGAACTTTATAAAGGTCATTATTGTAAAAATGTTCCTTAGTACACTCAGGAAACTTACACTCTTAGAAGTTCCTAACCACTGTGTGTTTGGGGTCAGAGGACCCTTTCAGATCTGATTATTCTCTCCAAGATGCTTAAATGCAAAATTCTGCAGCCAACTTCATAGGTGGCTAGATGGAAATTACTAGATTTCCTTGTGTGTCTAGCCTTTAGGAATTCTTCACTCTACACTTAAATTTTTTTTTTTAATTTTAATTTTAATTTATTTAATTTATATCCAAGTTAGTTAGCATATGGTGCAACAATGATTTCAGGAGTAGATTCCTTAATGCCCCTCACCCATTTAGGCCATTTTCCCCTCCCACAACCCCTCCAGCAACCCTCTGTTCTCTAAGAGTCTTACGGTTTGTCCCCCTCCCTGTTTTTATATTCTCTTTGCTTCCCTTCCCTTATCTTCATCTGCTTTGTATCTTAAATTCCTCATATGAGTTAGGTCATATATTTGTCTTTCTCTAATTTTGCTCAGCATAATACTCTCCAGTTCTATCCATGTAGTTGCAAATGGCAAGATTTCATTCTTTTTGATTGCTGAGTAATACTCCATTGTATCTATATACCACATCTTTATCCATCTGTTGATGGACATTTGGGCTCTTTCCATACTTTGGCTATTGTTAAAAAATTTTTTAATGTTTGTTTATCTTTGAGAGAGAGAGAGACAGAGTGTGAGCAGGGGAGGGGCAGAGAGAGAGGAAGACAGAACTCGAAGCAGGGTCCAGGCTCTGAACTGTCAGCACAGAGCCTGATGCAGGGCTAGAATTCACAAACCATGAGATCATGAGCTGAACCGAAGTGGGGTTGGACGCTCAACTGACTGAGCCACCTAGGTGCCCCGTCATTCTACACATTCGAAGGATGAATGTTAGAGCACTGCTACAGTGCTAGGGTATCACACAGTTCCTGCTCGCTAATGAGGGTAATGATCAGAAAACGACCTCAGATGTTAGTGCAGGAGAAGCTAAAAATAGAATGTCACAGTGCTGGGGGGGAAAGGAAATGAGGTAGTTTGTAAAGGCCCTACAGAAGTGGTACTTGAATTAAGACTGGCATGAGAAGAAAGCCACCAGTGCAGTAAAGGAACATCAGATACAACCAATGAGAAGAAAGTGCTTTTGGAATGTTCAAGAAACCACATGTGAAACACTGAGCGAAGAAGACAGAACATGGTGGAGATGCAGACATAAGACAGGCAGTTGGGGCCATTAGGAGCAGGGAGAAGAGACAGTTTTTTCAAAGGGTCATAAATGGACACCCTGCCCTCTGATTGCTTAAAATGTGGCTGTGGCACCTTAGCTAACACTCCAGGATCAAGTGGGCATTAGGGGTGAAGGTCCCAGGAGCCCCTGCCCCACCTCCTTTCCTGGAGCTCTCGTGGATAAGGCCCAGTTTCCAACGAAGTGGAGGTTGAACTTCTTGATCTTCCTCCATCCAACTTATTTTGGTCTTTTAAAGTATGATTATAAATGTACACATGGGGTGCCTGGGTGGCTCAGTTGGTTAAGCGGCTGACTTTGGCTCAGGTCACGATCTCAAGGTTTGGGAGTTTAAGCCCCGTGTCAGGCTGTGCTGACAGCTCAGAACCTGGGGCCTGCTTCAGATTCTGTGTCTCCCTCTCTCTCTGCCCCTCCCCTGCTCATGCTCAGTCTCTCAAAAGTAAATAAACATTGGGGCGCCTGGGTGGCTTAGTCGGTTAAGCGTCTGACTTTCGCTTAGGTCATGATCTCGAGGTTCGTGGGTTCGAGCCCCGCGTCGGGCTCTGTGCTGCCAGCTCAGAGCCTGGAGCCTGTTTCAGAGTCTGTGACTCCCTCTCTCTCTGACCCTCCACTGCTCACACTCTCTCTCTCTCTC